GAGCCCAAGTCTACAGACAGTCGCAAATCTCCTCACCAACCTACTCGCAAGCGCATGAAGGGTTGACTGGTGACACATGAATTGTGTAACGAAGAATACAATTCATTCATCTTTCACTATCTACTGAACTCTGTGTCACCAGTCCCCATCGTTCACTTGACCATTTCGCCTCCCATACTCCTTGTCATCTCCCATTCATGATAAACATCACTGCGGTGTCACTGGAAGAAAAAGAATGAACATCCGTTACTTGCGTCTTGAACACCGCTAGGACGAACTTCTCATAAATTGTTGCCGTTTGAGATGATTTGTATGCCAAAAGGTTCCAGCATGAAATGATGTAAATGGTCGATGCAGGGCTCGAACCTGCGACCCTCGCGTTATTAGCACGATGCTCTAACCGACTGAGCTAAACGACCAAACAACAATCGTCATTGATGCATGATGCAATCGGAGGAGGAAATTCGACTTCGAAAGCCGGCTCCCCGCCCCCATGACCAGTGTTGGATGGAACAACTGTGTCGCGAAGAAACGTGAATTTTCAAACATCTTTGGACAGGGGGCGCGGGGTTGAACCAGTCGTGTCTACTGGTGTGGGAGTCCTCTACATCGGTTGATTTCGCGTCAGAGCCTACTGACTCGCTCAAAACCTATTTGTTCACGGGATAGCCAAGGGCTGGGCCGAGAATCGAACTCGGGACCTCTCGCACCCAAAGCGAGAATCATACCACTAGACCACACAGCCAAACTAATATATAATTACAAGTTTTTTTCTAGGCTAGCATATCTACAGGAAGTCACAGATAAATTACTCTAATGTAAGGGCTGTGCCGAGAATTGAACTCGGGACCTCTCGCACCCTAAGCGAGAATCATACCACTAGACCACACAACCGTACCGTTGTATTTGTTGCCGTCTTCGCACCCCAGAGCCCAAGTCTACAGACAGTCGCAAATCTCCTCACCAACCTACTCGCAAGCGCATGAAGGGTTGACTGGTGACACATGAATTGTGTAACGAAGAATACAATTCATTCATCTTTCACTATCTACTGAACTCTGTGTCACCAGTCCCCATCGTTCACTTGACCATTTCGCCTCCCATACTCCTTGTCATCTCCCATTCATGATAAACATCACTGCGGTGTCACTGGAAGAAAAAGAATGAACATCCGTTACTTGCGTCTTGAACACCGCTAGGACGAACTTCTCATAAATTGTTGCCGTTTGAGATGATTTGTATGCCAAAAGGTTCCAGCATGAAATGATGTAAATGGTCGATGCAGGGCTCGAACCTGCGACCCTCGCGTTATTAGCACGATGCTCTAACCGACTGAGCTAAACGACCAAACAACAATCGTCATTGATGCATGATGCAATCGGAGGAGGAAATTCGACTTCGAAAGCCGGCTCCCCGCCCCCATGACCAGTGTTGGATGGAACAACTGTGTCGCGAAGAAACGTGAATTTTCAAACATCTTTGGACAGGGGGCGCGGGGTTGAACCAGTCGTGTCTACTGGTGTGGGAGTCCTCTACATCGGTTGATTTCGCGTCAGAGCCTACTGACTCGCTCAAAACCTATTTGTTCACGGGATAGCCAAGGGCTGGGCCGAGAATCGAACTCGGGACCTCTCGCACCCAAAGCGAGAATCATACCACTAGACCACACAGCCAAACTAATATATAATTACAAGTTTTTTTCTAGGCTAGCATATCTACAGGAAGTCACAGATAAATTACTCTAATGTAAGGGCTGTGCCGAGAATTGAACTCGGGACCTCTCGCACGCAAGCGCATGAAGGGTTGACTGCTGATACATGAATTATGTGGTGACTATGCGCCTAGTGGCTGGTCCCCTTTCCTGTATGATGTTGCCTTGCTAGCCTGAAGATATTACCTGCTATACAGCACACGACGTGAACGAGCGAACAAAAAAAATGCCATAAACGGCAGCTTGAAATTGAGAGATGTGCAGCCTCCATTCTCTGTGTCAGGCGGCTACATGTTATTCGACATTGCCGAATGACATCTTAAGGCTACCGGGTCGACAGAGTCTCAATTGAAACGTAAAACAGCAAGACTCGGAGAACCAAGCGTACTGAGAAACGTGAGGCTGATAAAACCACCATCTTAATTGACATTGACTCAATATGAGCATTCTCTATCACAAACTCAATATCTTAGGGATATAATGAGCGCGAGCAATTGAAATCTAACGGTGTCTGAATGATCGTGGGCAGATTTAGATCCTAGTTGCAGATTCAACCGGTTCAATAGAAGAAAAGTGAATCCTGTGGAGTTACGATACTCTAGACGCTGATGGAGTCCGACCACGTAAGGTAGAAGTCAATGGAATATCATTCGGCAAAGGAACAGACTCCGAGGTCAGCTCGCAGGGAACTCTCTCGCCAAGGAGGGCATTTTCCAACTGCTCCCAGGAGGTAGCGAAGTCACATAAAGCATAAGCGGCATGAAGTAAAGTCATATAAGCATAAGCATCACCTACTCGATCGGAATTAGTTAAGAAATCTTCAACAATATCATTCTGTAGATCATGCATAGCCTCTAGACATCTCTGCACTTCAACGTGGAGATTATCGTCATCTGCAGTAGATTCGGCCGCACCGCTCTCCATCATTTGGCTGATCCTCGCCGAAGAGGATCGCACCGATTCACTGAAGGAGATTATTCTGTCCATAAACGGAATGACACGCTCTCTAAATTGACCCTTGTAATGTGGATGAAGAACCAGACAAGAAGAGAACAGAACCAAGCCGCTACGTTGAACGTCGGAGATCTCCCGTTGCTTGGTTCGTATAAGCTTACTCGCTGAAGGCACCAAATGGAAAGTACCATAACCTACGATTTCGGCAGCGGCGTCATCCATTTGATTGATACGAAGAGCCATGAGATTAAATGCTTCCTGACCGAAGTGCTCCCATTTGTCGATCAGCGCAGCCTGAAGTTCATCATCTGCTTCGTAGTCTTTCTTCCACTGTCCGATTAAGAGAGGGGTTACACAGTCTGCGACCAACATGATGGAATCTTTACTTGCCTCATTGAGGCGGGCGGCAGCAAAGTTGGGGAAGATGAGACAGCTGATCAGAAACACCAAAAGAACTCCACAAACAGTGAAGACGAAACGCCACAGCGCTGTCATGAACTGTTCAGACTGTGTCATTGGCATAAGAGTACTTCCCCAACCAACGACAACCCAAGTGAACTGAGCGACATATGCAGCATAGCCAATGGCTTTGCATGTCATGAGTACCTTTGCTCCGATCACAAGGAGAAGATTTTCAACGAAGAAAGCGGCCTTACTCGTAGGGTGGAGGTAGAGACACAGAACTGCTAGCAAACCAGCACATATAGTCCCAACAATACGTCTTGTCCCCTTCAGAAGGGACGCTCCAGCAGTAGGTAGATAAAGGACATACTGCGGTATAACAGCCCAGAAAGCATGTAAGCGCAGAGTAGGCCTATGGTCACCCCATATAGTGAGAAGTGTGATGAGGATGTTCATGGTAAGGGCAGTGCGTAGTGGAATGCGGAGCCGAGAGAGCAGATCAGAGAAACCCTTTAGATCATTGAAGAGTGGACGCTTTAACCAAGTAATGATACCATTACCGATAGCCTTGACGATAGTAATGAACTTGTTAGTAAAACTTACTTCCTGATAAACAAAGATTGATCGAAGTGTTTAGTTCAATAGCTCACCTTTCCCTTCTTCGCCTTTACCTCCGCATTCTCCTCCACCTTCAGTTGACGATATTTCTCAGTGAGGGCAGCCAGTGATAGTATTGATTCAAATGCATAGTAGAACCGTGTAATCTGTGCACGATCGAATTGCTCTCCATCAGCAGTTCCATCCGCATGAGAATAACTCAACTTATTCGATACTTCACCAGCGCGTTTCACAGCAGCTGCTATTTTATTCTGAATATCTGCATCGGCTGCGGATGGATCGCCATCGGCCGTTTTACGCAATACCCGTCCAACGGCGGAGCGAATGTCAAGAATGTTAGACGCTAGAGGATCCCACAACATCCCCTGCGTCATTCGATCGAAACGATCTTCAGTAAGACATTTGTAGAGAGCGAACATCTCACCAGCAATATTCCAGACTACCTCGCTAACAGCGGGTGGTATATTCTTGACAGACGCGATGTTGATACAAACATTATTATACTGTCCACCGGCTGATCTAATGACATCAACATGCTCATCAGCTGAATTGAAATAACCAGTGAGAATATCGAAGAAATCAGCAGAAGCATAAAGGAAAGCATCTATTGGATTAGGCCCTTTGGATGGGGTCAGATGGAGTAGCTTCCACACTATAGGTTGAACGAAAGCTACTCCACATATGAAGATAACGAGAATTATCATCGCTTTCGATTCTTGGTAGGGATCACTCATGTAGAATGCAATAGGATAGTAAGCGAACACCATCATCATTGCTTGACCTGGGAAGCTAAACTTGGTGTTGGCTTCGGGTAAACCCAACGATAACAATAGTGTGAACGGGAGCATAGCGAAGCAAGACCATCCACGGTTCATTGGACCATCTGAACCAATATAACCGAGATAGTATACAAGGAGACCAACAGCAAGGGCAACGGTAAAGATCCAAAGGCAGCTTAAAAATACCACACTCATAGTGATGACATCATTTTTCCATGCTATAGACATACAGGGGCCGATAATCTGATAGAATAAGATGATAGTGAATCATAAGATGATGGACTTACCAGCATGGGAAGATACCACGGATCAGGCGGAGGTGCCACAATTGGTACTGAGACTATAATTGCATTAGCAATGGTAAATAGTATGTCAACGACTTCATAGAAGGAGAGGGACCAACCACGAGGAGGGTATTCCATCATATTAAGTATAACAATGGAGGTACTAGGAAAATTTCGCATCATAGTGATGACCACTCTGAATGAACTACCAGATGACTCGCTTCCCATGACTAATAATTATTAGCACCGTATACTGTAAATTCAAGTTGCCACACTTATATGATGAAATGGGTATGAACTCCGTACCAATTTTACCTTCCTTCTATAAAGTTACTATTGGTATAAACTTGCCCACAGTGGTGCCGATAAGCAGCCTATTGACTAGTTCATTCCTTTCCTGGTCATTTTATCCCCTCATAGTGCTACCATTAAAGTAGTTCTATGCTCAATAACAAATCATTATCAACCAGCTGTTCGAAGATAACCGTGCCTAATGGAGTTGATTCGAAAACAATGAAGGGGGATTTGGAGCAACTTCTTAAAATTTATGATGATGGTAGTGTAGACAAAAGTTACTGTATCGCCAATCCTACACAACGAATTGGATACTCCATCTATCATGTTCACTACATTATGTGGATGGTCAGCTCTATCCCATGCGCCCAGGGTATCCCTAGTGGTCATGACAGCTGCTGTCGCTAAGCGAGGGAAATCCTTAGGCTTCCTCAACCCAGGTACGCCGAGATAGTCAACAGCAGTAGAAAGAGTTGCTTTCGGCCATGTGAGTCTCCGCCCTAGAGATGTCGTTGTCGCTTTGGGTATGTCTCGATGTAACATCATGATATGAAGAAGGTGAAAAACTGATACCAGTGGCGACACACGGCGACAAGAGACGCAGAATAACAAAAGTATCACTATACATGAGCCTCTAAAGAGTCCCTTAAATTGATGCAATGAAACACATAATAGTGTAACGGAGAAGTTTAGTGCTTGAAGCTCCTACAAATAAGGTCTTAATAGACTGAGACGAGCGGAGAGAGTTCTCCGTCTTCGCAACATCCGAACCATCGTTCAATAGTTGAATATGAAACATAAAATGGGCAGAAGTCACTCATCATCATCTGAGTACTACTAAGCGGGTACAAATCCCAAATGCGCCCAGCCTTATGTTGACGTTAACAATTCCCTTACTGTCCGACAGTCAGTTGTATGACTACTGCAAACATAAAATAGAGGCAATACGCTGTTAATCTTATTCATACGTCTTGTTGCCTTTACACAAAAGAAGAACACAGTAAGTATACAATACTTTGCAATCATCCATCAACCTAGACTCATGACTTCACTAATGAGTTACATGATGTACTGACTGCAATGGATTACGAGAAAAATAACCGGTTCGATCTTCAGCTGCTGCTTTTAATATGAATTTCGTCGGAACGATCAACCATCTCAATGGTTATGATAGTAGTCGTAAGAAAAGCGACGAAAGTGACAATCTTCACACAGAATTATTATATCTCATCGTTGGATATATTCGCTCTACCAATAAGCACATGATCAGAGGAACCACTGAGATAGTAGATCTTCCAAAATTACTAAAATTGCATACATACTGCGAAAAGAGGCCAGGAGTAAAATAATACGATGCCATAAGACATGTGTTAGAGCTCATCCTTCGATACGCCGATTTTTGTTGTTTTTAATCGCCCCGCACTGATTACGGCAGCGAAGCAGTAATGGCCTGAATGGGTATGTAAACTGGCAATGTGTGTGTAACACTCGAAGAGCAAAAAGGGCATACCATACGCCGCATAATAACCTCATCTGCACATTTGACACAGACAGTACCATGACCGCAGGGATAGAATATCTAATATGATCGATGCAGTAGTGATATACAATACGTGCAGTGAGTACAATCACTCCTCGTATACTCACCTTACGATTATCAGGATCAGCAGCCATCTGAACCGCCGATTCGCACATTTCACAAGTGAAGTCCGGTTCGATAGTGTTGGGTATTAGCGATGATGTTATTGGTGTAGTCTTGGGAAAAGCATCGATAGGACGTCCCGCAGTAGACCTGCGCGGTTCCTTCGGCGACCAGCATGTGCTGCTACTATCAAGAATCTTCTTCCTATCCGACGGTAGAAAAATAGAACCTGAAATAGAAGTGAGAAGAACAGCATGTTATAGGCGTTGTACGAGAGGGAAGAATAGGGAAATACTCTTGGGTAGTAATCCTTACTGAGGTCAGCCAAACCCTGACTAGCGTGATCTAGGCTCGACGTTTTGGACTGACTATTGACATGTTGATGACCATGCATGGTAGAGGTACGTACAGGAGGTATTATTAACGAACCATCCTGAAGAAGATCCAAAATGTATTCAGTGACTAATAGCGGAGTTACTACCTGCTGCTTAGAGTTTCTTCTCGCTAATCTAGGAAATACTAAACCACTTACCAACTGCATGTCACTATCGTCCATAGAGTGATAGTTATAGACTGCGAGATCTCTCTGATTAATGGTATGAGTCGATGATGGGAATTCGAGCAGCAATCCTCTATGGTCATCATTCAAGTCCAGTGATATATGTCTGTCAAAATGATGTCCAGCATGTCGGGGGGATGTTCCACGTGAGTCAGCTGGAGTATTGGGATTGGATTTGCAAAGCTCGTGCTCCCCATGAGCGAATCTACGAGGAAGTACCTCATTAACCGATAATGGTAGACATGAATGTTACATACCGGCATCTCGAACCATACTGGCAGTGCCCTTGCTTCCACCAATTGCAGATAGCACTCTTGTATATACCCTCCGTAGCTCTAAGCTCCTTTGACCCATGTGCATACTTACAATCATCACCCAGTGTGCCTGAGAGAATCATCATGAGATGGGGTGTCTGATCTGTAGAGCATCGTCAAAGTGCGGTAGATTACATTTGCCTCGAGCATAGAACGACAGAGAGTAGTCTTCCTCAAATTCGGAGGCTCCCTAAGCTCATCCACATTATGAGCAAAACAGCACCTGACAAGGTTTCTGTATCACCAACTGTAATAAAACATTGTCCTCATGATTCGAGTCAAAGGTGAAGGATCTCACTGGAGACCAACACTTACTTCTTGCCGTATTTACATTTCCCTTCCAAATACAATATGCATAACCTAGTCTTCAACAACTGCTTGCTTGCATCTACCTTAGCTGAACAACGACCAACTAGGCGGTTATCATAAACGACTATTCTTATCATAACTCTTCTTATTAACCAACAAACCCGTATTACATCCTTCAGTCAAATCCCCCGTAGACACTCGCTGTCTAAGACGTCGTTTCCTCATATTCTGATTAGATAGTTCCATCCTGTGTACAGGGGAAACTGGTGCCGACGCGGCAAGTAGGCGAGGCTAGAGTGACAGTAAAGAGCACCAACATAGGCGCCGAGTATCGTACTCGAATTCCGGATCCCAACATAGCGTCATCGCTACTCCCCAGTGGAAGTTTGAGCGCGGCATCGAATAAGACAGGTGCACTATTATTCGCGGATATTCCTGGTATAGCGCTTCCGTCTTCCCCTGGATAGTGCGAGGCAAGAATCTCGCTGAGCATTATTGGTCGTCGTGGGAGATTCGATGAGATCGGAGTCGATACCTAGCCGACACTATCACATCTCTCTACCCCATCATAATTACCAACACATTCGTCAGTTCATCTCTAAACACCTTATAGTCGTCTCCAGTCCACGAGTATGTATCACCACATTTCTCAAGAGCTGATGCCCTAGGAACAGCAAGAGCCCCTGAGTCAATTGCTTACACCAATCTGTATATTTATCTCACTACCGGGGCGCTTCTTTTCCGCTAGGCGAATAAATTGAGGCGATGCCTTCATTCCTTGCGGGTCCTTTGCTGGGATGCTCGACATTTCAAAGTTGGGCCAAATACTAACGACGAATACTCACAAGTAGTGGGAGAGTAAACCGTCGCGACACCAGTATGGATCAAGCGACCACCACTACCCAATGCCGACCCAGCCAGTGCATTGATGATCATTACTGAACAATCCACAGTCAAGAGTAGTACAATCAGTGATTGTCAATCACCACTCAACATTGATTTTCTCTACTTTACACAAAGCCCAACGACCCTGGAAGACAACAAGCGTCCACGTCTGCACATGAATGATGAATTCCCATTTTGGCATTTCTCCCTCAGAAAAAGAAGAAACTACCCGTGAAAGCGGAGAAAGGATAACCCGAAACCCCGCCCGAAACCCGAGCTGTTATCCAGGTTGAATATGTTACTCGTATGAACCAGAAACCCGAAGTAGTGACCGTACCCAAGAGAGGACCCAATATAGAGTCTTTGAGTTTTCAGTTACATCCTTAAGAGGTCGAACGAGAAAGCGTCAAGGTCCTTGAGAATCCGTTAAATGATTTGACTTTAGGGGATTCAACTTGAATCCCTTGAGAATATGAATTTTGCCCGCAGGTCGAGCGCGGAAAATTGGACAGGAGAGGAGAAAATGTTGACGAGCGAAAGCACTTCCCAATTTCCATATGATCGAACAAGAACCGACATTTTACATGCAAAATGCACGACAAGCGCACAACGACCCGCAACGCAACGACAGCGTGTGATGATAATGATCGTACTGCGGTAGACATTATTCCCCCAGTTACAATGACAACGCCGATATACATTGGACTTATAGTCCTTATTTCTATTAGCATGGTGTTATTATCATCAGCGAGTAGTAACTTGCCCCCACCACCAATGGCATTAGATGATGATGACTACCCTTACCAATGCGTGTAAGTATGAGAACCCACAAACCCATTGGTAATTCACAACATTTCAGTTGCCACTGCCCAGAGAGGCGTAGAGTCGATGAGGATAATGTAAGTGGTGGTAGTGATGATGGAATCTTTGCGAAGTGTTGTCCTTGTTTCAGCCTAAGGAGATAATATGGGAAGTGGATCCAATCGGCGGGTGTGAATATGATGCTGGTATCACGCCATGCTATTGTATGACTAATGCCATAGCAGCCGATGCCAATATATTGCATACAGTAGAAGCGACGTTGACCAGACTTATAACAGGAACAAATCGCAAAAAAGCAAATTGGTGATGATACTCATGGGTGATGTCAACATGATGGTAATTATTGATAATGAAATGTTGATGCTTTAGTCGACTCCAATCCCCTACCGTGTTAATCATTATAATGCATGCTCATGTTCAGTGATGATAGAAATGAGGAGAGTGTAATCAATGCATTCCCAATACATAGTTGTCGTAGTTAATTTGATCATTTCATCACTGAAACTGCGATCACGCTACTTTCCATCATACTGGCATAATAAGTTTGACCAGAAAACTAGCTGGAACATCGACCAGACACTTCGACACGATTCATCCCGAATGACACGACGAACACGAACAATGTTAACACAGACAGGTGTATGCAATGAGAAACTGCCATCACAGCGATAACTATCATCTATGCAGTCTTAACAGCTTTGGCCTTTTTCGCCGTACCCTTCTTCGCGTCTTTCCCTGATGCTGCTACACTCTCTGTAACGGGCGATTCGGCGTTAGCTAGTTGTAGCGTCCGTCGATAAATGTGGTTGCAGTAGAGGCTAGCCAGGAACAGGCCGATAGAAACGGAGAGGTCCACCAAAAATGCGTTTAAACCTGAAAGTACGGCATGATTAGTGATAATGTGACGATGAATAGAGGTGCCAAGATAGAGCCCGTGGGTACTACTAGTCTCCACAGCTTCATTGAAGAAGTACTGGTAAACAATGAATACCGAGTTGAGTGCATGAAATATGGTCATCACCAAGGTACTCTCTCGCTTAACGATATCGGAAGGGCTCAATGCACCTCTAGCAATGACAAATGCAATAATCAACCAACTCAGTCCCAAAGACCTAACAATATGATAGAATATGATCTACATCAGCAAGTATGACAGGTGTATTACCCGTTGAGGTCCATCTCTTCTGCCGTAGACCTGGAAAGAATGGTTACTGCCATGTACACGAAGAGGACAGCCTCCAACAACATCGTGTTGAGGCAGAAGAAATAAGCCCAGGCACCAGGTGCCTGAGCATCCTTCTTGTTGGTGGACGAATTAGCCATACACAGAAAAGAGTAGAGACAACTGATGAAAGTATTATAATAACAATAGGCATTATTCAGAGCATCGGCAACACTGGTCATTATCACAAAGTGAGGCTAGGCTGCGTCGTGTTAAATACCCCCATGCTAGTACTGCATCCCGGTGAGCGTGATCAGTCGGGAATCGCAAATAGCACTCAACACATTTCACATGTACTGAAAAGTGTAGCGTCACCCATAAGCGGTAATATGTACCACAGCAACAGCGTCACTACACATCGACACTCTTATCCCTGAACCGGGCTAGCATATCCCAATAGTGTTCAGCATGGTATTCTCGTAGAGTACGTCGAGCAAAGCTCTCACCTGGTGCCTAAAGTAAGACATACCAAGTGCTTATCTTGCAGTAACAAACCTGTATCAGCTTCCACGATGGCTGACCACTCCTCTCCATAGGGAATAGTCTCTTGGGTACTACACCATGCCACATGCGGACACACCCATCGGAGTGACGAGCAGTGACACCCTCTGTGTCAGAATCATAGTCGGAATCTAGATGAGGCTGCACATGAATAACCCATCCAGTACTTAGGAATTACATTCCTCCTCAACACCACCAGCAGCATCAGGATCCTCTTCCTCTTCCTCTCCTGGCCTTCTACGGTTACCCACACGCTCATTCCAATTGATACGTCGAAGCATCAGCTTGTCGTATCGTCGTCTGATGATGATGATCATACCATACAAGGAATAGAGGGAATATTGTCATTACACAGCCTTCCTACTGCCTTCCACGACTACCACGTTACCAACCTCAGGGCTGACTACCAAGCCCATACCCGATAAGTGTAGCTGCTCAGCATTCTTAGAAACCTATGCATACGACTATCTCTACCCTACTCTCATTGTGCAAGTACTACTTTAAATTGGTGCCGCTTAGAAGTGAGATCCTTAACCTTATACACTGATACATGTACCTGTATATAGTTCCCTTAGCCTCATCCCTACAACTACCACTACCACCTACTTGTGTTTCAGTCTCAGGAGCATTGATCCACTTCCCTGCCTTCTTCAACTTCTTCTCCTCAGGTGGTAGTTTACGTTCCTCATTCCTCTTCTCATGTGCTTCCCGTCTAGCAGTAACCTGTCAGCATCATCCCCTGATAGCACCCGTATTGTTCAGAAAGTACCTCAGCTCTAACACGCTTCTCCACAGCAGTTGGGTCCTGTACAGCCTCATCGCCCAACACCATCATGAGGTTCTTCATGCGGACCTTCGGTGGTGGTGGCGGTATAAGACCCTAGTAGAGAGATAATAATGATATCACTAAAGTGTGTTACCATTCTGATCTTATCCTGCATATTAGTAGCTTTCTCCTTCCTCCTCAACCTCCTCAACTTCTTACGCTCAGCCGGTGTCAAGGGAGCCATGCCCTAAATAATAGCATACTAGTGTAAGCTCACACTTCTAGCATGACGATACTACCTCCTGTTTGTGTGGCTGAGCTGCCGAACGAGCCGGTGGAGGATGTTCCACATAAGATGATATAACCTTACTAGGACCACCAGCATCAATTACTATCTGGTCCCACCACTCCTAAGTAGGATATACTCACTACAATCTACGTTGCCGGCGCCGAGCTCACCACTGTGGGTGGGGCCTCTCTGGGATGGATCCTAACCGTAACCCCCAGGGAGATGGCTAGTGTAGCGGCTGTTGGTACACCATCAGCCTCAAGTTTTTCTTCCTTCTCAACAACCGCAGGTAGAGGTTCAACACCCTCCTGCTTCTGCATCTCAATCTCCTTCTTCGTCCATGTGCCACTCTCGTTCTACACCAGTACACCCAAATTTAGGCGTCACACCAGCTAGGAGCAGCCTACAAAGTTAAATCCCATCCTAGGCTTCCTCACCGCACCGGCAACATGCACAGTCGGATCGAAAAATCGATCACGAGTAGCACCAGAGCGTGTCTTGCCTAGAGAAGGGGAAATCTACCTCATCACGGGTCGCCACCCTTACCCAGCTTCATCCCACTTCCCAATGTGTCATCAGTCTTAGCCTTACTCCTACGCATCATATCCAATGCCGCTCGATTCCTACGAGATGACGATGCAGATAGAACAGACCAGCTGGTAGGGGTCCTCACTGATTGATCTTCAACGTTGATATCGCCACAGGAGGCCGCAGCTGGGACATGGGAACCTGACGGTAGATATAGGTTGTCCAAGAACTGTATTCCCTCTAGAAGTGTTACAAGCTTGCCATCAGCGTCGATCTCTCTACCATACTGATCCAATCTCAGAGCGACTGGTGCTGATACCACACCACCAACTGGACCTGACAGTCGCTGTATGATGTGAGCAGGGTCTTCAGCAGCCCATCCCAGATAGTACCACTGCTGAAGCCTTTCATCTGCATTGCCTCTGCCTGGGCTACTGCCCTAGCTGCTGCCTCGGCAGCGATACGTCCATGCCTGAGGGCTAGTTCAAACACACCGTGATGGTTAGCATGCTATCAAACGACATACCTCAAAGCATTCAGCTGTTCACTCTGCAGTTCCAAGGCAGACTTCTGTTGCTGTGCCACAGCCTAGGCATACTCCAGTAGGACCCAACAGCCTTCTACATACCGCTTCCTACCTGTGCCCGCTCCTTAGCCAACCTAGCAGCGGCAGCAGCTGCAGCAATCTGGGCAGCATCCAGTCGAATAGCCGGAGCCGTACCACCTGCAGTATCATCATAGCAATGTACACGAATGAGGTTCACTACCTGGCCCCACAACCATAGCTGAAGGAGCGGTATCAAATCGTGATTTCCGTGCAGTCTTCTTGCTAGTACGACCTTCGTCACTACCAGACTCATGATGCTCTTCATCAGCTGAAAGTGTTCACTATCCCGCAGCCCACTCAAGGAGGATATCCCTACTAGGTGCCGCACCCCATCGCGATCTACGTTTCCGCTTCTCCTTGCTAGACGACGTAGCAGTCTGCCCAGCCTTGCCCGCCTTCTTATCAGGCTCCTGCTCTACTGCTCTATCCACAGTCTTGGCAGTGCTCTCAGACATCGGACCACCGAAGCCCCTAAACTATGACTAATCCACGAAGTCTGTATTGTACCACCGGGTAGTACTAGCAACACAACAGTCTACCCAAACGAAACGAATCATCAACCTTCGTGATGCCTCCTATTCCTACTCCACTGCTTCCAGTGCGAGTAGGTACAAGCAGATGACATTACCATCAACCGACCACATCTCTAACGATCTTGTCCCACCAACGACAGTGAGTGCGTTCAGACAGATGTAGCAATAGCAGGAGTACAAGTATAGCACATAAATTCCAGAGACGACGAGAACAATGATAACGATAATGGCGTATTGGATAGTTCCTTAACGACGATTTAATGAGTATTGCGGTTTAGTGAAGAACAGTAAAGGTGACTAAGGGGAGTTATAGATGATGCAGGATAGAAGACGACGGTAATAGTGCTGTGATTATATTCCAAATTCTAAATTCACTATTGACGTGATGATGAGCATTTCTATGTAAATACGTGTATATTCAAGTCAACTGATGATAATTAGTAGCGGTGCTTATCGTGATGATCGCACTGGGACGACAGTGGCAGTATTAGTGGTTATGCTACAGCAGCTTGAGGATAACTTCTCAACCGGCATCTGTGTAACTCGCTAGTTATTTCTTCCGAACTGGAAGCCTCCAGGAGGAGCCGCTGTGCCAGTAGCTGGCTGGAAGTTGAAGCCTGGTGCAGCAGTTGCCGAGTCGCTGCCTGATGCTTCCATCTCCTCTACATCATCATCATCCTCTCCCTCCAATGGGAAGTAGTTCTCAAGAATACGTACAGCCTGTTGAACATCCATGGAAACCATTGAGTATTAATAATTGCCTCACCTTTAGGTATATCTCATCACTGCTATCAGACTGGAGGTTTTCAATCTTTGTTAAACCATCAGCTTCTTCGACCAGTTGCAAATACCTATGCAATTGCAAATCACACTTAGTAATTTCTATAATTAACTCCTTACGGGTTTTCAGTAAGATTTGGATTTGTCTCCATCGCTTGCATACCGACCTGTGATGAGATAATCCCATCTATTGGCAGTGATTACCCTGACTACCCTAAGTATATTCTCTAGAGCCTCTAAGCATACACCCACTATACGGGTATCATTCACATCGAGTAAAGCACACAGAGGTTTGATACATCCAGCTTGGACGAAATGATCCACCTGCTCTGGTGTCCCCCCTGTTGTAGCATTCGATAGTGCCCTGAAGAGAGATAGAATCTACGCATCCCATCCCCTGGTACTACCATGCTGCCTCCTTTTTGATATCAAACTCAGCAGTAGCCATTAGCTCCACTATCTTACTCGCAATCTGAGCATATCATACTCTACCGCCACCTTGCCAAATGCTACACTACTACCCCCGCATTAATGATCTCTTGGATCTGTTCTCGATTACCAGCCGTTATGTTTGATATTGTCCAGCAGGCCTCCTTACGGATGTTCTATGATACGATGACGTAAAACCAAGTTGAGGCAGTGTGATGGGTACCTTCTTAGGACTGTATAGAAGCTGATAAAGTCTCTCAGCAGCACCACACTGTATGATAACCTGAGTCTGCCTATCATCCCCAGTAACGATATTGCCAACAGTGCCTATGATATGAATGAGCAGCAGCTATACATACGTGTTGATTACGAAGAGCTGGTGTCTGGACAAGAGAACTATCATGATTGAGCAGCTCTACCAGTCTGCGACATACACCGTGCTCAATAACAGCCTCGATACGCTCATTAGGGCCATCCGATATGTATGATAGAGCCCAACATGCATCGGTCAATACTTCAACCTAACCACACAATAATCATTACCAATTCTACTACTACCACAACCACACCTACATCATGACTGTATAGAAGGTTACTGAGAGTTGGCAAGGCAGGGACGATCATCTCAATAGGTGGTTGGGGCTTTCCACGACATAGATTAGATAACGCCCAGGTAGCATTACGTAACAAAGACAACTTATCATTCTCCCGGAGTAGAGCCAGAAGAGGCTGCATAACTCCAGCTTGGAGGACCGTATCACGTAGAGGTGGTGAGTCACCAGCTATGTTGCCCAAGGCCCACACTGCCTGCTCTTTAACATCCAAACTGGGCGATGCTAGTAATGCGATAAATACAGGTATAGTACCTAGAGCAATGACTAGGGAGAAAACAAGCATTCCTTTGACAGCGCATTACCTGCAGCCACAACAGCCTCAGTTTGAGCTCGAGTACCACTCGCTATATTGGTGAGCACCTGAGTCATTGTTCTAATGTCAATGATACTCTACGAAGATGCGTAGGAATACTACCCAAGCCGCCTCAAATTGCAAATCTGGACGGTTGATATCCCTGAGGAAATCCACCATACGAGGGATGAGACCCGCCTCTATCACCTAATACTGTCCGTTACATTCATCATAGTATGATTATATTACATATTCTATTGGCGGATTCTTCTCTATAGATAATAGTTTCCTCACATACTGAGTGGCTTTAAACTGCACTACAGGATCAGGAGAGTTGCACCCAGCTACTGCTTCACCCAGTTCTTGGAGGTTGGGTACAGGCACGGTCCCACCTTACCATATAACAAGTTGTAATTGAAAAACGGACTAGTCTTATTACCACCACCAGCAGCAGAAGCATCACCGATGCTCATCCTCCTCCGTTGAGCTAACTGCTTCTCCTTCTCAGCCTTCCTAATCTGCACAGCCTCATCCTCTCTTCGACGTCGAGTGTCGTCAGTATCACCAGTCTACATAAGCAGTGTATGGTTCCAGGAGCAAGCAGGACACCAACTAGTAAGCGGTTGGTAATGATAATATAAGGATGACTACTATCCTCCAACCTTACCTTCTTGTAGTGCTTCCGACGAGCTGCGATACGATCTTCAAGATTCGACATATCAACAACCACAACAACGACTGTTGTCAAGAGATGAGGCATCATTAATCTCGAGTCGATACTATCGATCACTAAGGCGAGCGCTAATTCAACTGAGCATCCCCATCAAAGAGGATTGACTGAACTCAACTCCACCGTCAGCGGGATAACCTGACACAGCTCGGCAGCTGCTGAAGAATAAGAACGTCTTTCAAATGCAATAACTAACGGAACACTGCGAGATAATATCAGCAATCACCACCATTCTGAATCCCTGAGTTCTCAGCTTCACTAACCAGGGGCACCCGTGAAGGGTCTTGAATGATGGACCTGTTCGCTGCAACTGTCACTGCAGGCAGTGGAACATGGTGATGATCCTCGCCCTGGGAAGAGCCTTCAACTGCTGTATCTGTTGGATATAATTCAACAGAATAAAGCAGCACTGCTCTCAGAATGCCAGTCCACTACTTCCATGAGTTTCATCATGGCCACTTTCAGTACCAGCTTCCAAGTCCCCAGCAGTATGGCTCATCTCAGTACCCGCGTCATCGTTAGCAATAAAAGCGGTAGATCGTTCTACAGGTATGTACCTGACCACAGCGCTTCTGACGAGCCGATTCAAGACAGATACGACCTTACTCTCCACCAAAGAGGGATCGAGGCATAAGCCACTTGCGTAGAAGATTATTCTCTACTTCAGCTACAATCCAGAGTGATAGTTCCAGTTTATTCAAAAAGGCGAACCTGATGACATCCGGTTGGGCTAATCGCAGGAAGAGTTATTTGAGCTGCGGGCCTCACACGGTCTAGATTAACCCGAAGCTAGGTTACACATATTCCTCCAACCTGGCACTCACCTTGTATTAAGTAGAGCGATCACCGCTGCGGCGATTAAGTCCAGACGAATACTCCACGTGAATAGCGTTATGATGAGTATCACTACACACGGATACCTGACAGGTCCAATCTGCAACCCGTCATCAAGTCGCTGAGCCCCTGGGACCGACATAACTGTAGCCCAAGGGACGGGGGATCATTACCATTTGTTAGGTACAGGCCATATACCAAGCAGCTGGGATTCACCACTGCGATCCATGATACACTCCTTAGTGATCAAAAAGACGGCCAGGGGGAAAAGACCTGAAACAACGACCATTGATAAGCGTCTTACACATGGCGATTCCGAGTTGTGGCAAAAATGTCATATTAGGACACTAAGCATGCGAGAGAAGACGAGACACACTCACCGCTGAACTTCGCCCTTGAAAAAGAATCCCCCAACCATTGGAAGAGAGGGATCCACCTGGATGAATAGAATCTCAACGGAAGGTCGATTGCTGATCTGATACTCCCAACCTACCCGCCCACTCGAGAAATCGCCACGGTAGTAAAAAAGGGAGGTAAAAGTATAGTGTAAACGGTGATTAAGAACCAGAACAACATACCTGTCGACCCCTGAATGACGATGACATCAAGTACACAACACAGTTGCTATCATTCGCCACCTTAGTCCTCTCCATGGACGGCAGTCGGCATAAAAGATAATAACCCACAGGTAGACCCGCGATCATCGTGAACACTGAACATGAATCTTACAAAGTCAAGGTGATTGAGAACTCACCGTTAAGGGAGTAGATAAAAGGACTCGTCAGCGGCAACCAATATTGCCGGCGATACCAGAAGTTCCACACTGACACACAGAGTAGAGCTCATCGATAATCATGATCCGATTCGACATACCGGTCAAATCCACGAATTCGTCCGCGACATACGTGTTGGTGAGCTGGAGTATTAGCCCACAGAGTAGAAGGATGATGTACATGAGGACGATTGCCCTGGTCATGCCAGGGGCGGCATCCCATGCTACTCTAAGAGCTTCTTCCATGATGATAATAAGGGACGAAGTCAAGGTTCGAGGTACTGCGAATGATAGTCACTGCAGTGGTAACACAAGAGAGGCAAGGTAGTAATAGAACTCCGAGATTAAAATGACTCTCAACTATCTCAAGCCAGCCGTGGCATGCACACGGACGAGGCTTCTAGGTCTCCAGTTATGGTCATCGACGATAGCTACACCGAGTAAACGATCTCGTCCAGAGTATCTCTAGCATGTTCATCCTCAGCCCTCTTCCCATGTCGTCTCGAAAGATAACGATACCTGTCGGTGATAGTAGAAGACGATGGGCTGAGCTCAGTACGGGTTACCATGATGGGCAGCATCGAAGCATGCAGTATCTACAGACACCTCCACACATCCGTGTTGAGGCCAGTTTGATCACCAAACTAAGAAAACAATAAAATACTAGTTGTATGGAACAGTAAAACCGCGATATTCTAGGACCAAACTATGCAGTTGAATCGTATAATAATATCCTATGAGAGAGTCTTGAACTACCGCAATATGAGGGCAAGTGAAACTCCGCAGAGACAATCCCATACGACTCGCATCTGGGCAGCAGACAAGAGTAATATCAAGCAGAGAGGATACCTAGTGGCGGCAGCAAGAACTGTATAACAACTGTTGACCACAGTGCAGTACCATATGTTAGGAATCTGCCATGCTCCCCAGAAATCAACCTTGCCCCTTGGATGATCTAAACACTGCCTGGTTACTATGAACATGGCCAGAGGCCACAAACCTGCATCGCCAACAGTAGGACGATACATACGATACACACACTCACCCCATAGGTATTGGTTACAGCCAAAGTAAGGGTCATAGGAGAGGCCACTGGAGATGGGGATAGACTAGGACTGTAAGCAGACTGTAGCTTACCTAGAGAGGCATGCTGCTTCCATCACTCCAATGAATATACCATTAATTGCCATCAAACACGCTATTGTCAATGTCAAGCAAGTCCCCGAACCCTGACAATGTACTAGACGAGAGAACGCCAGTTGTGGTATTACATATCGCCGTTCAAATTGAGGCAGACGGTTGAGGATAGTGATGGAAGCAAGCAGGGACAGGAAAAGGGATACCTCTATTAAAGGGATGTGGCCACGAGGGTCGATGACACACTACTACCATGCTGGCCTCCAGCGTCCCATGACATCCACGGTGCTAAAAATAGACACCCTATGTTGCCCGAATTGATACTCCACACTGATGGACAGCAAATAGAATACGGGTGATATGTAGTATTACTACCAGCAAGCACCTCGGGTGTATCATTGTATTTCATCACATCGGCCATCACCCATGCTATGCTCATTCCTATCAAATGCAGTACGGCGATAGTCCGTGATACCCATGGTGCGGCTGACCATGACCCCAACACTGTGTATTCGCCAGATACCATAGTGCAGGGAAAGTACTACTTTCAATGTAGAGACACGAGCGCAGATTAAGAAAATTTCATAATGCGCTGTCAGATATTAGCGGAGCGACGCGCAGTTTGTCTATCGTTTTGAGCATGAATCACACAATCTTAAGGCCATTCTGGCAGTGTGAATTTGGCCGACTCACGCCATGGGTATCGTATCGTTTTTTCGCTGTTTGAAGGAGGGCAAGATGGTACGTTAGGGGTGTAATGTGGTCTCACTGAGTGGTTGGTGATGGTCAGGACTATCGAGGGCAGAGGAGAGCATTCTACATTCAATTGATGCTCATTCTCGTTAGTGCTGTTATCGGATTCGTCTATGGGTAATACACTGTGGTACACATATAGTGATGTGATCCCATAGATATGCCGTACAACGGTTCCTTTACACGTTCTACATCCTATCTGCAGGCGCCGCCTTAGCTACAATAGTAATAATCTCGACGCTCTATCATCATTCGCGACTGTTTCGCCATGGTCGAATACTGCCGACTCTCGATATGATAGCGATTGTAATTAGTGGTAGTACTGTGGTAGTTACGGATACCGGTCGGGTGGAATTCATCACTACCTACTGTATTGCACTTGCCCTAGAGGTTAACCGAATTTATTGTGAACAATTCTCTAGTATAGTATTACTACATGCTCAACGACCTCCTTTAGATAACACTCCCATCGTGGCCTGCATTCAACGGCGATCCTGTCACATTCCTCCCAGCAAAGGAAGGGAAAGATGACTGACTCGTACTGGATGGCCGAGTTGAGAGACCCTCACATTTTTCATTATCAATAAGCACTGTTGGGTTATCCAATATGCTTCCGGTTGACTGCACGACACAGGCTGCACCTGTGATGACTCAGAAGACTGCACACGATCATTACCACGGGTACTACCTAATCATTTCTCTATGACTAAGTCAAGTGTTACTTCAAGTGGGGGTGAGGGAGGCACGGCGGACAAAGCAGCAAGGCCAATCCCCTGGAGTGTGTGTTGTGTAGTTCATCATGCGAGGGATGCTGCTTATCTGCGATTTCGGCCCAGCTATTATAGACTATCTATGGTATCATCTACTCACTTGATCCATCCGGGAGTCTTAATGGATCTGGTACTCTAAAAACCCCTCAATGATACCCTCGTGACGTTGGGCAAGATCGAAAAGTTTGATCGTTAATTGGGGAGAGGGGGGAACGACTCGCCGGAGGAGATAAAGAAAATAGGCAATTCTAGGTGAGTATTACTCACTGAGTAACACAAGAGGCATGTTTTGTTCGCTCGTACCGTCGACTCGTGAGTAGCACTGGCGGTCATGATTCCTTGTCGGGAGTCAGATTTTGCATAGGCTTGGAAAACACCGATGTTGCATAATCCAAAGAGCGAACCATGGCTATATGGTGGGGGCAGCGAGCCTCAATGGACAGACTGTAGACCTACCGAGCAGTAGTGTATCCGTCTCGATGCATTCTGTGGCCGTCATGTCGAACATGTGTCTCGCAAGAACTCGCATGTCCTCGAGTATGAATGGGCTAGCTAGTTGCCGCTATACTGAGTGGATTGCGGCCTCCTGACTGTAGATTATCATACCTTTCTCCTCACCCCCCCCCCCCCTCACGTAGAGACTAGTTTGGCCATGAGAGGACGGAATAGGGAGTGAAACTGTAGAGGTCAATATGATTATCGTCGTAGTTCAGTTGTTGATGAGTATTGGTATGAGTGGTTTTAGGAAACAGGAGGAACAGTCTGCCCAAAGGATCGTAAACAGCAGCAGCGAGAATAATGTAGAATTCGAGCGTTCGACAAACTCCCAGAAGGACAAGCACTCCTCTGACATTGGCTGAAAACTTAGTGCGATGAGAGGGAGGTATCTATACAGGAGAAGGAGGCTCGATTAGAACATCTACGACGATGATAATAACAGTTGCGACAGAGGGGCCTCCGTCAGTCCACTCATAGCCTGCTAGCTGACCCCCCTTCCCATTCCGATACTACCGACAAGAGTAAATTCTCTCCAACCTCCTGGCAGGCTTCCATTAGATGGCATGTAATCCAGCCTTCTGTTTTTAAGAATGATACAGGGTGTCCAGAGAAAACTGCATACTGTGTCTTAGTCACTAAGATTATCGATATCATAGCCTTTCCGCTAGCTCTGAAAAAGGCTGTGTTTCAAAGCTGTGAAAAGAAGGCAGTTATATGTTCATTACTCGAGTGAAATAACAGCAAGCGCGACCTGTTCCATTATAAGCAATTCTTTGACGAGCGTGAAAATTAAATTTCTCCCCCTTCACAAAAGCTTTCGAATGGTATGGGATTTTTCTGAATGTTCAACGGAAAGTCATTCGAAAAAGCCCATGTTTGTTGGGACACCTTGTAGTATGATGCTCAAGAAGGGAGAGGGCCATGCATCTCTCTGCTCGCTCTCGACCAGTCAACTCATGTCTGGTACCCGTTTGTCACCGGTGGAGGCTATCACTCCGAACATAAAGGTCCTTGCTCAAGGCCCTCACGGTTAGGAGAGCCAACCAAGAAAGGTATCCAGAGATGGTATTAGGCCGATCATAGTATATCATCGATTGCCTCACTATAACTCAATAACCGGAGTATAGGCAGCGTACATATGATATACGGTAGCCAGGCTCTTAAGTGATATGACTGATGATCTTCCTGATCATACCTTTGTTTGTGTACAATGAGATGTACAATGGGTTAGCCGTTAGCGATTGGAGCAACAAAGGCAAAAACAAGACTGCCACCATAGTACATCCAGTATCTATGGTTCTCTACTTTGCTCATGATTGATGTACAACAGTGTCTCTAGACAGCCGTCGGCGTCTTGTTATAAGTAGTATGAACAGATTATCCAAAGCGGGCCGAAGCGGAGTCTTAAATTATTGGTAATATCATTTTTACTCCAGGAAACACAACAGTTCTAACCCATAATGAAGCACTGATGTGTCATGGTCATGTATGTTCCTCTCCCCCATCGTCTACTGATGGCACCGAGTCAGCCGATGGGGAGTCGGGTTGAATCTCATCAAGAGTCTCCTGGGTAATACAGACTATGACATGAGAGGGATGTAACCTACGGTGAGCGGCTCCGCTAGACTCGGTTCCTCTGACATTAGCTGATCTGTCATGAGTTCTGGATCTTCAGTCTGAGGGGCTGCCAGCGCGCCAGTTGGAGCCTCCTCCTCTACCATGCCATCGTCTACTGATGGCATTGATTCAGATAATGGGGAGTCGGGTTGATCCTCTTCGAAAGTGTCCTGGGTAGATACTGACAACGACTTGTCCAAGTTGCAACATACTGTGAACGACTCCGCTGGGCTCAGTTCGTCTGCCATGAACTGCTGTAATTCTTCAGCCTCGGAGGCTGCGACTGGACCAGCTGGAGCTCGCTCCTCTCCTGCTGTATCAACGGACTGCTCATCAGCAGCAGCATCAGGGGAGTGCGATACCTGATACACTCTGGTAACCCTCCTAGCACTATGATCTACCTCTGGCACTTCAACCTTCAGCGGGGTCTGATCAGTAGCTTGCTGAGGCTCTCCGGCGAACGTCCGAATACTCCGCAAGGATCGAGACCCTCCATGGCGGGACTGAGGATGACTATATTACCCAGCCTACCGAGGCAGACCACGCACGTCGGGACGCTCAGGGAAGTCCTGTGGGTCGGCAGCTCTGTCAATATCTCCACCATGAGTATAACTCCGTTTCACCCGAGCCTAGGAAGAACGTAGCTGCTACCTCGGTATGGCCATACCCTTCCCTACTGTGTCCTCTCCTTCCCGAGAACTTGTTGGTTCAGCTGGTGGCCCTTCTTCAGGTGATGGTTCTTCTGCCTCAGCTGCTGATTCTCTTTCACTGGCAGCCTTCGCTTCAGTCGTTGCTTTTTCCTCTTCCGCATCATCGTCCTCTTCTGATATATACACAATGACGATTACACTCATCACCATTCGGATTACGAATATCATCGAAGCTCCAACCCTTGGCCCCAAACTTATGCCTTCGAGCCGATGAGATCTCCATCAGATGCCTGCGTACCTCTTCGCATGTTAGTGGAGTCTCCTGAGTGACTTGAGAGCAAACGAGAACATAAGAAGCACTGATCCATGGAGAAAGGGATCAAACCTAGAGAGTCATGATCATCCGATTCAGCCGATGGCAACAACTGAGTAGGGATCCTGATAATCCTTCCCCTCTTTTTCTTCTTAGGCTCTTGTCGAGAGACGACGCTGTCTTTCGATGATTGGCGCTCGAGATCTGCCCTCTTATTAGGCTCTGATTTGGATGATGCTGTACTCAACAGCACGACTGCATCATCGGACCGCTACCTTCGTCTAATGCAGTAGATGGTGATCTCGAGTATCCTTCTCCCTCATCTTCTGGCACTTCTTCATCATCAGCCTCTTCGGTGGCCAACATAGGCCTTTTGAATGGACAGTCATCAGGTAAGTATTCCGGGAAGAGGAGGAAGATCTGTCAAGCTGATACACTGCTACTACATATCCTATTGACTCGCCTTGGTGATCCGATCTAACACATCCACTATAGAAAGTAGTCCTGGGAATGGCTCCCATTCGAAAGAGATTTGCCTACAACAGGAGGCGTTGATCTTTGATGAATATTCCCTCCACCCACCGGAGGAATTCCCCCAACTTCTCCAGCACTTCATTGGCTTTGGGTTCAATGCGATTTTCCAACTGTAAAGTATCACTCTGGTTTTCCTCATAATAGTGTGTTCAATCTACTACCAAATCGATAATGACCTGGGATTTAATATTCCCATCAGTGATCGTTGATTTACATTTAGTGATCTCGGAAGAGAGGAGGGCCAACGCCTACGTCAGGTAAAATACTAATCCTCGATAACATATCACCGACCGGGGTTCTAGGCTGCGTGCTATTAATCTCAGCCTCCTGTTCTTGGCGCTGATGCCATTGTAAAAACTCCACCAGCATCTTGTTCCTATCTATCAGATCATCTGTTTGATTATCAAGGTCCGCCTTATAACTGCAAGTATCACGTAATTGTATACCAACCCTTTTATCACTACTGCGACATGCTGTAACAAAGCCTGTCGGACTTCACGAGTTCGCGGATAATCTCCTCTATACTTGATAGATTAGCACCTTACTTATACATTCTATTGGATAGGGAGGCCAATACTCTCACTCTCTTCCATGACCCTAAAGGCTTCCAGTATATACTCTTGCCTTGCCTCGTGTTCTTGTATATGTTTCCTCTGTATGGCATTCAGAAGGGCCAACTTTACTATATGGCATTGGAGCACAGTCTCGGAGTAGTTAGCTTCCCCCTCGGCCAACTACAAGCAATGCTCTTCTAGGACCCTCAAACCGCCCTACAATGCTTCCATGTCGATTGCCTGTCGATTTACTCGTGGAGTTGCAACCAGTCTTGCCTTTGCTGCGATGGTGCTCCAGCTGTTGTCGTGAGGTCTGAGGTGAATAAATACATATACGACGTCATACCATTCATCGTGCATCAATCGAGTTTTCAATTATTCGTTACCTCGAAAGTCCCTACCATCTTGTACGCCTCGTCTTTTTCGGCTTCGAGCTCATTCTTCAACAGGCGCGTGGAGTGTTGTTTCATGCCTGGTAAACATGGTATCATCACAGGACTCATACAACGAGTATTACGCGACTCTCTATCATCATCAACAGCTCCCATCGTGGCCTTCCCTAGTGTCGCCCTACTCCGGGCCAGTTCAGCCTTCAACTTCCTCAGGCTACCGATCATGCTCTTCCGTTTTATTCTGAAAACACCAGGAGTGTAGGACCTCCAGCTGACGTAACATCCCACCTCGCATTCACTATCCCATTCCTTAGCTTATCGTTGGCTTTGTTCATCACATTGAGCCTCTGCGACGCCGTATCGAGATTGTCTTGGAGCCTGCCAACTCTCAGTGAGGGCGCCCCCCGCCTTTTTGATGCAGCCTGACAGTCATATGGTGGTTCCCTGATTCCCTATGTTACATTCATCATGGCACGCCTTCCTGAGTTAACCTCTTTTATATTAGCATCAAGTTTATTAAGGCGTCTCCTAGCAAGTTCCAAGTTGTAAGTTGCCAGAGCTGACAAGCAAGCTCGCAGTTTGCAAAACACCGGCCGAAATCTGTCTTGTTGCTACCAAGTTCTTTCTGGAAAGCCTTCAACGACTTGGAAGTCTGCATGGACTTATCGTAACCACATTCGAACATGGGAGTCTTCATTGCCTTGTTCAACACCGGTAGCTCCTGGGAAGAGCAACAATGTATATGTTTGGCCCCCAATCGACCGCTAGAAGGTAACAGCTCCAAGACCCATCCCACCGGGCGGGATTTGTCAGCCAACTTGCCACGCTGCCCTTTTCTGGCAGTCCCTCTTGACGAGTCAGCATACGGCGAGAGTCCTCCCACTGCTGCCTTGTTACTGCTCTCACTAACCTCTGTCTCTGGACTCGCCTCTGTGTCGACCAACTCTTTAGTGTAATTCTCAGATCCAGTTTGCATCAGCTGATGAATATAAGACTATACCCATAGACCTCTTAGACCTCCATTAACAACATAACCCAACTGGTTGTATTGAAACTTTTGACTAAGTTAGTAGTGAGCAGGTAAGAGATGCCGCAATCATCAGTTTTCAAGCATTATCCCGTCGATCGTTGATCACCACTACTACATGAACAATGAAACAACACCAACACAATATAACATACAATACTATATGATATGGAGTAGGGTTTGGTGCCCTTTCCAAGGCCACGGTGAGCAACAGTAACACATGGTAGAATAAGATACACTACAAGATGCACCCAAGGATGATGTCAATCATCCGTATAGTAGATCTTTTATCATCATATAAGGATGAGCGAATTCATCACGACTATTAACGACATGAATTGAAAGTAGAGTATAGAAATTCATACATATCCTGGTGCTAAGACTATAAGCCTTGCCCCGCTGGTGTCAGTTAGAACCCAGCAAAAGCAAGTAGGTAAATTCAACAATAAAAACACACATAGAGTTGCAGAGTGCTGCAACCAACACGACAAAAAAACACCAGAACATAGCGAGCCAGGGCCTTCACGGCACACTATCCTTCTCAGCGACTGCTCACATAAGGTCCCCCTTACCTGCTATACTGATTGGATCGGCCATAAGCAAAGGTTGACCATACTTACCATGATGGCTGCCTTAACAATGATCAATGACCAGTCATTTTATCTTTTAATCATTGAGTTGGTTCTTGGAACCGTCGCTATCTCTAAGACGCGCTAAGTTGGTGGAAACCCGAATCCGAAACGGGAAGATGACTCGCCTTCCGAAAGCCAGAAGTACATGGAGAGTTCGAGTCAATAGAGTCGATCTCGGAGTTTGGACAATCAATCTCGTCTCAGAACTTCCAGCTCGAATGCTTATAGGAGCATCCTGTTCCACGCATATGATGCGTGTAAGGAAGTGGCTTTATAAGCAGTCAACAACATGAACATGATGACGCGCTATAGCAGGCATTTTCTGACCCGGCAACTATTGAACGTGCGGAGAAAGTGTAACTACTCAGTTTCACAAAACGAACTTGACCTGCACATAGAAGAAATATCAAACCCATGGACGACGGCACATTTGCAGTATCAATTGGACATCGAAACTGTGGCTCTCATACTTCAATTCCCCACATTGCTATCTCCGCGACTCGCTAGCTGATACGACTTCAAGACAAACCCCATGTTGATCGAATCAATTGTGGGTCAATTCAGAATCGATTCTAGTAGGCGTATTCATGTTGCTAGCATTCCAGGGTAAGCTAGCGCTACTCTTAGTTACTAAACTCATAAGTCCAAATTGAAGACTAAGTGTCCTCAACGACTCTCTGTGAGTTGAGTTCTGGTGATTAATACTGTTCACTACACACACTCATCGTTGGAAATCTCTAGACGACATCTCTCATCGGAGATGAGAATCAAACATGACATGATGGCACTGAATTAGAAATTAGTCAAATTGTAGTGATGCTAATCGAACAGCAGAACTGATGCTATCGTCAAACTCGCTACTATGGTCGAAGGATGCATCCACGATAGTTGCACGGGAGATACTGAGAGATATACGAGCTCTTCTCTCATGGGATGATGATGACAGGTCTACCTCCGCATAGGTATCTCAATGCCGTCCACCGCGGCGGCAGCAGCAGGAGTTGCTCTAAAACGAAGAGGGGTGTTTCCTTTCTCATGGAACAACTTCCTGGATAGCGGGGTGAACTGGCGTGATGATGATAATGAGAACCGGCGTCTCGAAGCATACAGTGATCTGAACGTGATACGTGTGTATCAAAATACTACTGAATTCCTATAATATTATTAATGTTATCGTATATCATATTAATGTTATCGTTATATTTATATTGCAGGAGTGAATCTCGTCACTTAGCACAAGAGTCCAGGGGATTAGCATGCTCTACTGTCCACTTCGTAGGAGGCTCCTTGTCAAGCTTGGGATAACGGAAGGTGAGCCAAGCTCGTAAGGCAATGATTGCAGCATTAGCATCGTAATCATATCTATGTATAACTCCAGAATGTAGCACTACTGTTCAACCTACGTAGCGATACAATCCGTAATTATGCTGTCATCATTGAGGTAGGAAAGAGCACCGACGGCACACTTCTCCTCTGCGAATGGTATCAAGTCTTGGCGAACCCTCTCAAGTGCTTCAGGAGTGGTCTGTGCACATAGACTGCAGCTATCAACAGGTCGCGATATCGTAGACTACTGCTGCTGGTTTTCTTTCATGAGATGCAGACTTGGAATCAGACTGGGTGTCATTGACGGCCTGACATGCTGAGAGTGTATGCACTCATCGACGTGGATCCTCTACACCTGTGTATCACGACGACGACGATGCTGGTGATGATGATGCCGCCACCATGCAGTACAGGGATAGCATATACTCACTACTCCCTCGTTACGCTGCTTAATGCGGTCATCGCTATAATGACGGTAGCATAGATAATGATAGAGAACATATATCGCGATGGACACCACAGCCACCACAGCCGCGATAGTCAGGCCAGTAGTGGATAACCAATCCCAGGAGGATCCATCTGATACTTCTCGAGAAGATGCTAATGCCACAACCGATGAACGATTTAGGGACATTACTGGCAGCAAGACTTGAGGGGAGCCTTATACAGATCAACTCAATAACAACGGGCTGGATCAAAAGGGCGGTGAGCATAGTTCACTGACAGCAATGCATATCGGGCAGCATATGAGGATATATTACACCGACAATACAATAGGGAGCACACCCCTCATGCAACAATCACAACGCTCACTGTAAGCGGTTGATCATCAGAGTTCACACCTGCTACCGCTGTAAGGAAAAATCAGCATAATACGCGACTATGTACATCGACAGTTACTCTCAATCCATTCGAGATAGGAACATCGTAGCAATACCATACCAGTAAAAACGTCATAGTGCAGCCGAACCCAAGCCGACTAGGAGCTCACTACCACAACAAGCTCTACAGATGATCGCCCTCCCCGCTGGCCCGGAGATACACTTCACGCATACCAATGCATCTCCCGGAGCAGAAGCACCTATGGTAGCACTTCTTGCTGTATCCACAGTCGAGTAGTTTAGGGTATGACCTACTGGTCAGATGTGTACGACTCATCAGGCCACTATTGGATGTTGGTCTCTAATACTTGGCTAGAATAACTGAGTGCTGGCCTCGACTTGCAGCCATTATAGTACTGCCCTTCAGTGACATACTAATACTAGGTGTATGGAGGTGCATTCTGTCATGACCTTTCGGGCATGCCACATGGGCATAGTGAACTCCCCCAATCGTATGCCTCCTGTGATGATATGAGCTGTCAAAGCCCGGACCGGGAGTGAATCGATATCACTACGAGTTATGAGTTCTCTCGAAGCACCGCTATTATTATTCCTCGATGATTCAACGAATACATCATGGTTTGCACCAGGACACCAACAAGCCTTCGTGGGGTAGTAGCACTACCCTTGATACGGTGCTCCTCGACAAACGGCAAAAGGCCGCCCCGCAGTAGAAGCAGGAGGCATCTCGCTGCTGCCTCAAGCATAATATACTATTCCGTGATGAACTTAACCTTACTAACACAGGAGACTATGGGTCAGAAACATCAAGCAGGACTTCGGAAACGTTTATCATGCACAATTGCCTTCAGTCGTTCTTCATCAGATGCCATACCACTCCATTGCTTCATCGGGATGCATACCTCACTCCAGCCCAATTTCGCTAACCATGCTCCACGTACTCTATGCTTAGCCGAGAGGGATATTTCCATACTGCCACTATCCAGGACATAGCCCTTAGGTTGGACCAACCGTATTGATACCTTCTCACGAGGCAAAGCTACTGGTAATGTATATCCGTTATCCATAGCGAAACCAGTGACAGCTCGATCCTCCAAAAGGCTAGCTACTGTTGCTGCCCAGGGGCTACTCGGGAGGGTAAGTGGGGTAGGCACTTCACAGAGACCAACAGTTGCAAGTATATGCAGGCCGAGGTGAGCGTCATCACTAAGGTCAGATAGCGTACCAAGAGAGTCCAGAAGCTGAGTTATCGCAGCGGATGGTAGTACATCATCAGTGTTATTAAAAACAGCGATCGCTATCGGTAGGAGCCAGTCCTTAGGGTCCGCCTCACAACTTGGCGTACGACTTGCTATAAGTGAATCCAACTCCTCTGCTGTGACCCCTAGCTTGCATAAGGCACGCATAATCCTTCCACAAGGCGTAGTGTTTTTAATACAAAATTGTAGTAGACCCTTATTAACAATACCGAGTCTGGCCATATACGATAGTATATCTCCTTCTTTCACTGAGGGTATTCTATCCAGTTGCCTCTCTAGCATAGCCAACGCTTTAGCAAGCACTACTACTGATGCCTCTGTACGGGGGTCATAGCAGGTCTCTGATGATGATGAATACACAAATAGAAGGTTAGTGAGCCAAGTAACAGGTAGAGTATCGGCCTCAGATACCACTAACAAGTACATGAATAAAACCTAGCAGTATGATCCCAGTACTACCTCTGAGGATCCATGGTGTACACCTTGCTATGATCTCTCGACCCAGCTGAGTGAGGTCAGCATCAGAGGCACCACCACCCTGCTGGGGAGCTGTCCTCGCCCTGCAGGATCTAGCGTAAGCCTTGAAACATGATACCTGGGGGCTGACCATCCACATACAACCATCAGCATACTCTTACGGCGGCGTCCCTCGATAATGCTCCATCGATGATGTGATCGGAAACTATAGGCAACATAGTCTGCAAGAACCTCTTACGGCCCATCCACATACCACTTACCCGACCTGCGAACATATACTCTCTTGCGTTCGACCGCTCTGCACCTACTATCATTAGTCAGTGCGTATAGTAAAAAATTAATTTGCTTGGGCTGGAGTTGGCCCCTGAGGTAGTCTTCTTGCTGACTAAGGCTCAAGGCTAGAGCATCCAACACGGTATCAACGATTGGCGATGTGTATGGTAATAATGCTATCCCTTTTAGTAGGCGGAATAGGGCGGGCACTGACGGGAGGTTATCGAACCTAACATGGCCGTGAGCAGTTACAGCAACAACCACCTCGTCACCCTCGCCTGTGCATATCATTGATAATAGCCTCAACATCCGGCATGAGGCCAGCATCCTCTACTCCACTATGAGCCACCAGTAAGGATCGGCTCCATAGCACTGTAGAGAGGTCAGAGCACGACATGGACGACATCAATGATACTCCTCTATGGGCCAACATACTACTAACTGGATGTGATGGTAGTCGCGAACAAACGTCTCCAAAGCGGTGCCTAGATAGTAGAGTGCCTT